TTCTCTTCCTTCGTATTTGGCGGAATTATACGAAGAAGTGGACTGCTACTGACTACAATAGATATGTTTGACCCAAGCACCGAAAAAAAGGAAATGTCCACACTATGAGTCGAGACGCAACAAAACGATTTTTTATCGCGACAATATATTGAGGTGCCAGTACTAGTCTACTTAGGAACATTCAATGCGAATATTTCATCCCATCCGCTGACTCTTCCAATCATTGCTCCTTCCAACTATCTCTTGTCTCGATCAGTAAGACAAGCCTGCTGACTCTTCACTTTTACATCGACCTTAGACTTGAACACTTAACAAATGTGTATTACTTCTGAAGCCCATGTCGGGCCCACTTTGAAAACTGTACTCTTTAAACAAAAAATCAGAATTTACGTAAACACAAAGTAAATTTTATTTATTTACCACCAGCAGTAGGTAATACAAAGATTTTTTAGCAATCGTAAGCTCGGAAATATTTTTAAGCCGACGTGGTAGCGGCAGCAGTGGTAGTGGCTGCTTGTTCCCGTTTGATGCGTTCGTTTTTAAGGGAACCCATAAAAGCCAGCTTGTCGGACGTTCTCTGGAAGCGACCACGGCCTATTTTCAAAGAAGTGTAGATAAATTTCAATTTGAGCTGCTTCAACAAAGTCTCGCGTAAAGTGATCACACGTTTCTTCAAGCTAATGCAAAAGCGCTTGAACGTAACGAAATCGCTTGTTACTTCACCGTAATAAGGTAAACCACCCATAGGTGTAATGCTTTTATGTGTTCAATCGTCTTCGGTTGAGACGTTATTTTTGATAAACTTTCCGTCCTTACTATGTATGCCGGTACTTATGCGATAAGTTTTGTTATTGATTTTGCGTTGTTTTTGAGTGCGATAATGATAAGCTTTTTGAACGGCACGAGCCACAGTGGCCGACACTCAAGATGGAGAGCCTACAAAGGCGGCTTTACGTACACTCGAAGTAACATCTTCGAAGCTTTTACCTTTGAACAAAACGATAAAAAAATATCATTTCATTTTGACCGAAAACATTGTTAACCGTAACAGGTTTTTCTAAATGCTCACGCATCCATTTCATCTTTTCCTCAATGGGCTTTCTTTTATCGTCACTCAATCAAACGGATCTGAGAATGAACAATGACGCGAATCACTTGGTGGTAACATAACATCTTGCGGAAGTCAATTTCAATGCTCTTCTTCCCGAGATCATCATTTTGCTAGCCCTGGCGAAAGTCCACTTTTGTAGAAACATCGGCGACATTCTTCGGATAAATGTTGCGCCCAAACGCTAACTAAAGCACGCAAGGCAAAAGGTGTTTCGATGTAGCCTACCATACCAACAACAATGATACGGGGTATTTCCAAAACGGTGAAAGCTTCCACAACTTGATTTCTAATGATTTTTTAACCGGAACGATCAGCTTTACCGGCAATGGGCGTCATACACGCTTTATAGCCAATTAAGCAAGTTAAATGTACAGGCTTGCTGGCATTATCTTTAGGGAACGCCTTAACTTTTCAGCGAAGACAACGGGAACGTTTCTGCACAGAACCATGGCGAGAAGCCGAAAGTGTACGATGGGACATTTTTAATTAATTAAAACACGTCAAAGAACAGAAAAACGTGTCCCCTCACTTCAGGTAGTCTTTTTAGTCTCACTTCGCTTCGACCAGTAACGCAAACAATCAGTCGATTCATAGGTTGTCTGCTAACGCCCAACGTTGTCCGTATGCCGTAGGAGAAACGTGAAAACGATTCCATTCACTGATGGAAAAAATTCTTCGAAGTCAATTAGTTTTTATTGTTGCATAAAATACCGTGAAATTTTAATAAAAAGTCTTTCGAAACCAACTTGACTAATACTTAATTTGCCACGTAACGTAATTTATGGCATTTGTTACAAAAACAACTATTGTAACCAAAATGTTATATGTAAAGCAGTAAAGGCTTTCTTATACTCAATCAATCTTTCTCGAGACGGGAAAAGATTTTTGAAACCTATCACGGGCGGGCAAAAAGGTGCAAGGACGATTAACCTGAAGGCTGTTTATGGTTCTCGATATCGCGAGAGGACACACCCGCGTGCTTCAATCGGAATATAAACGGCGTTGTATTTCTTCGGTGTTAGAATAACGATTTATATGCGAATGAATGCAAAGAAGAAGAAAAAGTAAATAATCAAAACAATATTGAATATAAACTAAAGTAAGTACATGTGAAACTTTAAAACTTTATGCAAAATGTACGAATAAATAAATTAATTTCACTGTCGCTCCAAGCAATTGCAAGAAAAAATCATGGGAAAGTTCCAAGGAACGTGTAAAGGGATAAGAGTAACCCACTTTCCTGCAAAAGCAGTTAGTATCCCTGACAGAACCAAATGTTCATGTTTTAAAAAAATTTTTGTTTTTATTCGTTAATCTCTTTTGGGAGTGATGGTGTCTTCTCCACGACTGAGCCCCATTGATAGACAACTTTTTTTTCAAATTTTTTTATTATCCTTTTAATCCTTTCCAACAATTTCTTTGTGAACTTTCATTTGATGCTACTAGAAAATAAAAGCATCGAAAAGAATTGTTTGCTGTTTCCAAAATTTTGGAATTTTCATCATCAATCAAAATTCCCAAAAACAGAAGGAAGTGGAGTCCTTGACATTTAATATAAATGTAAATACTTTTGCGAAATAATTCCAACGTGAAGGTAACCAGTTGCTACAATTATACCTTGTATATCAGATATTTGCAGAAATCCCTTAATATATATATGAATATAAATAAATATATATTTATACCACTTGTGGTACGGGGTATATTAAGTTAATCTGGTCGTATGTGACACGCAGAAGATCTTAAGATAGATCCATATTTTAGTATAGCAATCGATTGAGAATCATAGTCTGAATTGACCTAAGCCTGTTTGTCCGTCTGATGTTTGTCCATGTGGATTTGTTTTCAAGCTACAGGTCGCAATTTTTGAGACATTTTGGTGAAATTTGGTACAGTGACGTGTTTTAGCCCAAGCACAAACGCCACTGAAAATGATGCGGACCGGTCCGCTTCCCATATAACGCCCCATTCTGTGAAAGTTGTTATATGAAACAAAATTTTAATTTTCAAAATTCTTATGTACTATTTTCAGCTTGTTTTATTTGTGTGCACATATGCAAAAGCTTATGATCTGCAAAATTTCACAAACCCGAGCAAAAAGGAGGCAAAATTGAAGTACCATTCCGAAATTAGGAATAGCGCGTCACGGTGTTGAAAAGCTTTTTATCAATTTTCAAAAAACTTTCTTTTGAAGCCGTTTCACTCTTCTTGGTGAGTTATTTATGTTATTTTATGTAGAGAAAGTCGAGTTCATCAATGAATCACTGCAATTGGATTTTTGTGCAATTGGCTTTATTTGATTGTTTGTGTATGCGTTGCTGTTTGTGTTCTGTGTTTTGTATGTTTTGTTTAGAATTTTTAATTCTCTCCCGTTCACTTTCCTTGTATCTCTTCGTGTTTTTCTTTCTCTCATTAAACATTTATTATTTTTGTCGTAAGCTATACTTTTTTGTTGTAAGCTACACTTTTTTGTCGTAAGCTATACTATTTTTGTCGTAAGCTATACTTTTTTGTCGTTTGGAGGAAATGTTAAATTCACCGCCCATTGCAGAAGAGGCTTCAAGTAGCACTGAAAACGTGACGTTTAATTTGAAAGGTCTTAGTGATCTTAGGTTTAAGAATGGCAAATGAGCTTGACGATTTCTTTATGATCATTGATTCCTCTATGGAACGAAGTGTTATTTTTAAGAGGCAAATTGCTAATGCGACTGCTACGTATCAGTCTGAATTGAAGAAGCTTCTAAAAACTGCCAAGCAGGAGAAACTTACAAACTTCTTCAAACCATTACGATCAAAGCCTTAATTTAATTAATTAAAATGTTCAAAATGTTCAATTAAATTGTTTTTTTTATATAATTGATTTTTTTTTATTTTGTCAATACTTCACGTTACTTTATCATTTCGACGAATAGATGTCGCTGATAAATATACATGCAAGTACAAAGTCGGTTTATTCTCAATTTATAAACACAACCATTTAGTTGCGTGTCGGTTTATTCTCAATTTATAAACACAACCATTTAGTTGCGCAATATCATAATCAGCTGTAATTTGAAGAACGTTTTCGGATTAAAATTATAAAATTGCATTTGTGCTTGAAAGGCGGAAAAATTGAAACTAAATTAATAGAAAAAAAAACTAGTAAAAATTGCCCAAAAACTCGAGAAAAAAATGTTTCGTAATTGCTGAATGCTAGTAAAAAGATAAAATTGAAGAAGGTAGAAAAAGAAAAAATTGAACTGATTACAATCTAACAAATCAAGTTGCTCATTTAATTACTCTCATACTCCCAAATTCGGAGTCGTATTGCAATCTAACAAGTGGTTTTCAGACTCGCTCATTTAATTATTCTCAGATGCTTCTATATTGAGATGGATAAAAATTTGATTTTGATTTTTCTTTAAGTCTCCAAATTTATGATTAGAAACTTGAATATCAAAATGTGACGAAGATATATGTCAGTGATTTTGTTCACAGTTCGGCCGCATAACTACATTTATCCACAAATCCATTTAAAAATTTAAAATTCATACGTCAGTAAGCTGAGTTCAAAAGTTGAATGAGTAAAAAACAAACTTACTTCACATTAATTTTCATTTTTTACATTTAAAACGACATTGTTTGTTTGCTCAGTCTTACATTTACTTAATGAATTTTAACAATTTAATGATAAAATTTTTTTAACAAAAAGCAATACGTTATTTATTTTTTTTTTAAATCACAAAGCATTATGTGGCAAATGTGGCAATACTATGTGAGCTAAATAGGAAAGCAGAAGGGATAGAGGACACGAAAATAAGAAAAGTGAGCTAAGAATAGAGGTAACAAAATATCAATAAAATAACAACTTGAGTGTTCAGATATTTAACGTTTACACTTTGATCTAAAAACCACTAAAATAAATAAACAATAATGTCATATCACCAACTTTACTAAGGCCCAAACAAAGAACTCTGTGTTCACAATGGGTCTTTTTTACACATCCCTCGAATTTCCGGTTCTTAATTTGTTGAATAACGGAGGAAGAAGAAGTACAAGACAAGCAACAGAATTTGGAGACATTTAAAAACAATTTATTAAATACATTATTCAGCAAAAATCTTGACACAATACCATCAAATCGTTGAATTTTTAAATTTAGTCTATCTGTAAGGAAGAGGCGGTTAGATTTTTTAGTCAAGAAAAACTGGTTTCTTTAGCGAGCGACCACATTGTTAGTAAGAAACTGATATGCATCTCGAAGGTTGCGACATAATTGTAATTTAATGCACATCTGGCACTTGTCTTTTTAAGCGCTCTTTGCGAGCTTTATCTTTTAATTGAGCCGTTTTTAATTTTGCCATCATTTGAGTTGAATTGTATAACCAGGCTCCCTTAAAAGAAAAATAAGTAGAAGATATCAGACGAAATTCTTGGATTACCTTATCATTTTTATCACTCACTATCAATAGCATACAGTTCAACAAAATGGGTATCGAAAAAACCGTCGAAATGAACAAACCATTACTATCGAAATATTGTTGTTTAGAAAACGAACGCCAATTAAGTGCGGCGTACTCGTTAATGGATTCTGAGAAATAAGCAGCGGATAACAATATCAGAAATAATAGCACTTGAAAGTTTGTATTATTTCGTGTCATGAGAGTTGTAAAAGTTGTTAATACATGAACTGCTATTAAGCCGATTAGCCAAGGATCTCTCCAGTCAATCTGCAATTATTGAAAATTGTTATATGTTTTTTCAGCTCATGCTTTCGAGGAATCACCTTACACTCATTAGGAATGACCAATAGTCTGTGATCTCACCAATTTCTATAAGTTTAGATTCCATATTTTATATGTTTTCCTATATTTCTCTTCAGCCAAATTTTTCCAAAACAAAGCTATTGATAATTCATTTTTCCGATTTTACTGTTGCCATGTACGAGAATTTTTTGAAAACTTATGGAATGTTTGCTGAAAGAAAAAAATACTTTGGTTTGGCTCCTTACAGTATAATTAACGCTTTTATCACATTTGATAAAAATGTGAATTTTATGGCCAAACAAAAATCTATGCCTTAATTTTAAAAAACTCGAATCTTTCTTTATGTCATATTCGTTTTGTGTCCAGAAACGAATAAGTGAAATGAAAGAAATTGTGCGGCCGGTTTCTTTTCCTCCTTTATCAATACATAATAACATCCATACCACATAATCTTTGTATTGCTTTTTAAAAAGAAACTATGGCAATTTCTCTGAAACTTGTAATGTCAATTCTTTCTCAAAATTGAAAAAAAAAGTTGTCAAGGAGTTAAAAAATCGTTTAATTTAGTTAGAGGAGGAGTCCTTAATATTTTTTGTTTCATATAACGAAGTCACCACCAACAATTTGAAGAAAAAATCTTCAAAAAGAACGTCTTCGTTGTGCAGCGTATGTCTTCCTTTAGGACATATAACTGCAGATCTTCAAATAACACGGTTATAAACAGAATTCCAAATTGATCGCACTTAGGAACATAACGGCACCATGTTCCGATTCATGAAATTGGGACCATAACGTGAGTAGAAAAAGATAAACGGATCACGAATTAATTAAACGCCTTGAACAGTTAAAATTGCTCTATTGTAATTAAAATCATTCTACATCAATTATATAAAGAAAACCAAATCATATACAGGTTTGTCGATTACAAAATCTTTATTCCAATTTAATCGATTAGTTTGCGTTTTCGAACTTGTATTCCTAAATGATGATGCAGAAAAATTAGCCGAACGACTGGCGAATATAGAAATTGTAGAAAAAGAAATTTAAGGATAATTTTTTGTAATTTTTAGTAATGACACTGTTACTAGTTTGCAATTTAAGAACTTCTGGTTATATATTAAGCTCTGGAACACTAAATTGAGCGCTGTTTTTGCAATACTTCCTCCCATCGTGGGCAGCACAGTTATTATTTATTAAAAAGCTTTCGTTTTGGATATAAAGCAGTCCGCGATACATGTGACAATGTTTTTTCAGTGTAACGATGAATTTAAAAAATGCCATTTACGCCATTATGTTACTGCGCTCAAGTACCCTGTAAAGAGACCTCAAATTTACAACATATATTAAAATATTTCAAAAGCAAACCAATCACGTTGAATAAAGATTAATAACGTTTTTTGTATCGTAAGGTGTTAGCAATGTTGCCAATTGAAGGAAAAAAACGAAAATTTCGATGATAAATTTATAAATACGCAATTACTAATTTCAGTAATAATATTATAAATTAATATGTTGAAATGATCAGTATATTGTTCGTTTTCTGAAAAATTGTTACATTTACGATAGGTTTTTCTGTTTCCAAAATTATTTCACGTAATAACGGCCGCATTTTCGTGTAATATGACTGAATGCGTTATATGTAGAGTTGGCATTACTGTAATTATTCACAAAAAAAAGCAAAAAAATTAATAAAATCTTAAAAAAAATTGAAAATTTTCATAACTAAAAAAAAAAAATAATAATTACATCTGCAATACGCTTTCAGATTACATTCGAAAAGTTTCCCAAAGGAAAAGCCGCAAAATAACAAAAAATACCTGCATTGGAACTGAAAATTTGTAAAGAGGTCTTTATAAGTCGTATCACCTTAGAAAAGGCGTAAAAACAAAAGCAGCAGAAATATAGAAAAAGTAATTTTTAGTATAATATACATATTATTATTAATGAAAAACAGAACCCTTACTTCGTAAAAATCGACGTGTCAGAATTTTTCTTTTTTATTTTGAACTAATAATCGAATTGTTTATATTTTGCCAAATTTCGTCGTGTTCGAAGAACTCAAAAAAGTGCATTCAATTCTATCCCACCTATCAAATAATAAAAATATCAAGGACGTTGCGCGACCTCTTACGTTTACAAGCGAACGAATTAGACTTGCATTCCGAAAAAAATTGTCCATTAATCTTTTTGTGTCTGTAAGGGTTCATTGGTGCAGTTAAAACAAAACTGCATAGTGGGATATGGCTGTTAAGCAAAATAATACAGAGTCAAATGGAACATCAGCGGAGGCGAATCAGATTAAAAATGGAAACGGCATCAAGTCTAATGCTACGGGTACTAAATCAAAAAAAATTAATTCCAATGTCGGCAGTGAGGATAGTGCAGGTAACATAACGTCAGGAAGCGATAACGCTGACATATCTGGATGCAGTGGTAGCTCTGGGACGTTAAGCAAAACCAAAGCCATGTCCTCGATCGGTTCAAATATGACTGATGTCACCAACAACGCTGCCATTAATCACCATAACGATATGACGTGTATACTTAGCATAATCGAATGGCTTGCAGATCGTCAGGAAATATTCAATCACGAGCGCGCTAAAATTTATCAACATCTCATTTTCAAGCTAGCGCTTGTGCAGATTCCTCGACAGTCGGACGACTTGAAACGTTTTAAAGAAGACATGGCCAAGGTGGGAGCGTTCTTTGCCAAACCCAATGACACAGTGGTCTACAAGTTTTGTTTGCATTTGGTCTGCAAACTTATTACAGTGAACGGAGATACACCATCCTGTGCCATTGCTGTTATTTTCGAACTTTTCAGTCCGGATATGATTTCCGAAGCAGTCGAATCCCTGGTAGTACGCGAAGTTTCCGATAAAGTGATGCGAAAGACAATTGGTTTATTGTGTGAATGGCTGCGAACATGTAATTTTTGTCACAATCTAAATGTCTGGATTAAGGCCATTCTAACTGGTCTCCAAAAACAGCAGAAACTAACCCTTCTCGAAGAGATTGCGCTTGATAATATAAAGCAATTGTTTGAATCCCTTATGATCCCAGCGTTACGACCAAAAGTTGCACCCATTGTTTGGCTTATGTTGTCATCTGCCGATCAAACACCAGACGTTTTTCATAAGGTAAGGCGGTATCCCCTAATCCAATATAGGTTAAACCAATTTTCTTTTGCAGATTTTGCCAAACTTCACCCGGGTTGTAAAGGTCCTAAGAAAACAGTCTACTGGCACAGGAGAAGTTGCAGAGAGCGCGAAAAAGTCGCTACAGCAATTAGTGGATCTTACAAGTGATCTTATGGTCCGCTTCTATGGTTATGATCACCTCTATGAACCTATTGTATGACTTAAATTTTGCAGCATTATCTTTAATTACATAATAATTGCGTTTTTTTCAGGAGCAAATTCTTAAAGATTTCCAACCGTCATTAAATTATCGCAAGTACGCCTCGTTGGATTTCGATGGCGAATCGTTTACTCAGCACACAAATGTCAAAGTTGGTTTGGTTAATCTAGGGAATACTTGTTACATGAATAGCGTATTGCAGGCTCTAGCCATGACGAAAGAGTAAGTTCATCAACTAAACTCTCATACTGTAGTTATTTACTTATATAATTTTATTAGATTTTCGCGTGAGATCCTTTTGTCGGAAAGTAAATCGCCACTGTTGGTAAAAATACAACAACAGATTGCTTTGATGCTGTACTCTTCGCGTCATGAGTTGACTCCTATTAAGGTTTTAAATGCCACAAGACCGCCTGGTTTCTCACCTGGTCTACAACAGGATAGCTCCGAATTTTTGGGATATCTCTTGGAAACTTTACATGAACAAGAAGTGTTTTCGTTAGAAAAATTTACAACAAATGTTGCAGAGGTACAACAAGAAGCCGGTGCTTCGGCTGTATGTAAAGACAATGAGGCTTATAATGACGCAGAATCGGTAAGGATATCATCAGCCATCAACAATAGGATCTTTCAAGACACAACACAGAAGAGCGCACAGCTACTATTCCCAATATGCACGACACCGACGACCAACATGCAATTGCCGACATCGAATTCGACAATTGAGAAGACCTTCACCGGTAAATTGGCCACCACATATAAATGTCTTACCTGTGGTTGGAAAAGTCGCAATGTTGATAGCTTTCGCGACTTGCAATTATCGTTTCCCGATGTAAAAAATGACTGTGCTTCAAATTATTCGGTTCAAGATCTCATTGAATACTATTGTTCGCCAGAAAAGCTTGACGGCGATAACCAATACTATTGTGAACGTTGCAGAAAGCTCTCCGATGCGGAACGCTTCATCAATGTCATTAGCGCACCAAAGAACTTAATACTGACTTTAAAACATTTTAAATACGATCAAAAGTACAATATGCGTGCTAAATTAATGCACAAAGTGTTCCACGATGAAAAGGTAGATATATAATAATATATATATATATATATATATATATATATATAGATGCTTTATTGTTTTTATTGGTTGCCTAGGTTTCGGTCAAAGTTTGTTCGCCGGAAACTTTAGAAGAAGTTGCAACAGTTCATTACGACCTTTACGCTGGCGTCGTGCATTCCGGTTTTAGTATGGATTCCGGGCATTATTATACGTATGCTGCAGATGCAACCAATAAATGGTATAAATTTAATGACAACATTGTCACACTCTCCAAAACAGAGGAACTGCACAATCTTTCCCCACCAAATACTCCATATATATTGTTTTATCAAATGAGCGCACGTTCCAATGAGACCCAAGAAGCTTCTACGAAAGTAATTAAGGTTGACATACCCGAACCTTTAAGCCTGGAAGAATTACCTCTTGAGCTTAGAGAAATGATTAAGCGCGACAATAAGGCCTTTACCGCGGAGATGAGACATTATAAAAATGCAAATTTAAACGTTATGCATAATCTTCAATCCAAGCAGACACGAGACGGTTTCGACGATGACGAAGACGATCAGCCACCGCCTGCTAGTAGCTGTGGTGGTAACGCCATGAATATTAACATGAATCGTTTTGTGTACTGAGTAAAACAAGTAGACAATCAAAAATGCAACAGTAACAACTAAAAAAATTTTGTTTCGTCACTCCACGCACGCGTTAATACATCAACCTAAATGTTTCAGAAATATGACGTAAAAATTGGGTAATTAAAACAGTAGCTTATGTACTTTTGCGCAATGCCTTCCTTGGTAAAAGTAAAGATAACTAAAAATCATCAAGTAAAAGTATTCCTTCGCCTCTTCTTGTTGATAGCGTATGTGTTAAAGCGTGTGATAATGGCACGTAATTGTTTTCAATTTCATATGCAATTTGTTAAAACGAAACAACAAAATACGAAATAACTGAAATAGTGAATGACATGGGATTGAATGGGAGTCGAGTTGAGAGAGAATCTAATTTTCATATATATATATATACATACACAATATAATAATATTTATAAACCAAGTTAATTAGTCTATGACTCGGTTAGTTTCCTTTTTTTTGATGCAAATACTTAGGAAAATCGAAAATATTGTCAGTTATCTATCACCTTTTTGCGTAGCGTAACGCAAACAAAATTCTAATTTATTAAACAAAAAAGAAAAAAAAATAAAAATATATATATATATATATAAATATATATATATACATAAATTTAAATTATTTTTTAAAACGCTTCTGCAATGAAATTGAAATTTTTGGCTACTTTTAGAGACGTACAATTACATGAATGAAATGCACGCAACCAACCTTTACTTGAAACTATTTTTACCGCGCCTGAATATAAACAATGATTTTATTATCGATTCATAATCATATATATTATCATTATTATTATTGTAATTACAATTAATAAACACAATATTGATACTTTGCAACATGTTGTAATTTTAAGTTTAATAAATTTGTTTAATATATATATATATCTATAAACATTTGAACTGTTAATACTTTCACATGATAATCAATCGAAAAGCCTAACGTAGAGAAAGCAAAAAAAAAGACATTGATTGTCTTAATCCTAACTTGAATTTATTTCTTTCCTTTCCCTTGCATTTTATTTAATTTTGCATTTTTATTTCCGTCCGCTACGAAAACACATCTTATTCAAAATTTCAATTTTTTCTTTATTATTTGCTTATAATAATTTGTATACCATTTTTCGAAGCGCTCGTACCGAAATATAAAAATGAAGTTTGGTGTAAAAAATGGTTAATGCAAATACAATATGCAGCAGTCTTGATTTATTACAAATAGTGCGTTTTCGAACACTCTAAGAAACTCTTTCGAAACATCATTCCGCTTAAAAGACGTAGCAAATTCTCATTTAGCAGCATTATTTAGGTTTTTTTCCACCATTTATTCCCATTTAGCAAAACTGTTAAGGTTTAGCAAAATTGGTTAGGTTTTTTTTCATCATTTATTGAAAGCAACTCTGTCCTCTCCCTCTATTCACAACGCGTGCAAAGCTGCTACTATGGACCTGTTTTCATCATAAAATATTAAAACTCTCTTTGAGGGGATACTATGCATAAGGAATCTTATATAGAGTGACATACAAGAAATAGACTTTGGTCCACTTAATTTTTATGTCAAATTACTAACGGGAACAAATTTCAATGATAAAACAACAATTAAACTGTTTGTCACATTTCCTGAGAATCCATGTATGCAGCGGTGTCCAAAAAATAGGCCTACGTGATCCAAATTTAATGCGATTGATTCCTTTCTCAATTTACTATTGTGAATCAACCTTCTTTCCACAAAAAGGATTCAGCTTATGTAAGAACAGTTAGTTATATGGACGAGAAGTTCAAAATACTACCCTAGCCGAAACAAGCTTTTCATAGAAACTTGGAACGTCGAAATCATATTTCTCAGCGACTTTTGTTGGGAAATTTTGAAAATTGCAAATTTTTTTCCATATATTCAATTATTTTAAAAAGTAAGTCGTTATATGGGATATTTTCGAAAAGGTGATCCGATCCGAACCATTTTCAATAGCGTTCATCTTAAATTTGATGGAACCGAATTTTATCGAAATATTTGAACAAATTTGCGACTCCTAGATTGAACACTAAAAAGACGGACAGACAAGCAGAAGAAAATTCATTTTCTGAATCGATCGGCACTCGCTCACTAACTTAATATAACCTCTTAATATATTAAAAAATCCAGAATACCTTTTAACAAAAATGAATTATTACTTAATTATTAGCGTTTGCAGCTGGGAGTAATATAGATATAAAACAGGTATATAGGAAACGTGTTTTCCTATATTTGCATAGATGCTGCTTTTTACTTAAAAAAATAAAAAAAAGACTTCATTGGAATTTCTTTGCGCCTTTGGTGTTAGACATAGCAGATCTTGAACTAATAAAAGGCAGGAAAGAACGTCTTGAACGCTTATCTACTAAATAAAAATGAAAGATGTTGCTGAACATCTTACTTTTACATGTTGGCGAATTAGGTTTGCATTGCGAAGAAAATTGTCCATCAGACAGCTCTTCAATAAAGCTGGACGCAAGCTTAAAGGCCCGCATTAGGAGACATTAGATCGTTAAAAATGATTTCGAATGTAGAGGGCGAAAATAACGGATACAACGTAACGATGGGAAGTGATAAAGTAAAATTTGGTGAATTAAACAGAGCCAAAGCAGTGATATCGATCCCTTTTGTTACAGAAACAACAAATTTGTCATTTTATTTATTTTTTTTTTATTTACACATACGTTGCCCAATAGGCCTTCAATAGAAGAATAAAATTTTATATTTAAAACAAATTCAATTTCACAATGAATAAAAGAAAATAATCTCAAAAACAAACTCAAAATGGAAATTTGATTTCTTTACCGGGATTTTAACTAGATTTTTAGTTAAAATTTTCTAATGTTAAGGAATGGAAAATCTACTGAATATTGGAGAAAAAATTTAACTAACTTTTAAGAAAAACGCTCATTTGAGGGATACAAGCATTACATTTTTTATTCACTTAATCTCTCTCCATTTACATATACACCGTTTTTAATTGTATACTTTTCAGGTCTTTTTTCCAAAAATTTTTACTTGTTAACAACATAAACAATATTCCAGCAAAAGCAAAAATTATTTTTTCTTGTTTTCAGAAAAATGCTGCAAAAATTTTTTTTTAAAAATTGTTTCTTTTTTGCAATTTTTGTTTCGTTGACGAGCAAAAATTATTAACAAAGTTCTTCTATTTCTCGCTCATCTATCATTCACTAGGAACTTTGCATATCTCACACGCATTCAGAAATGGTATCCTAATTATACAATTGCCAAGCAACAATTGGCTTCGATTAATTTTAAACAAAAACCAGCAGAGACAACGAAATGACAAGCTACTCCAATATTTTGCTCAAAATTCAAACTAGAAGATTATTACGGGCTTTTTTTTGTACTTCTGTTATCAATGACACTTGTAACGCTGTTCGTTAACAGTTCTTCTATTTTTATTATTTGTGTTATCAAAGATTCTGTTAATAGTTTCGTGATATTATGTCGCATTCCGTCGAATGTTTGCTAATCAGAATCATATCCAATTCTGTGTTTCTGAGTGGATAAGCGCGCCTTGTATTACAAGTAAATGCGTATGCATGAAAAAGGTGAAGCAGTGGCAAATATAATTTTCACTTCGTTTATTTCACATTGAAGAATTCTAAATTTTATATTCGTCAAATGCTCCGACAAAGTTCAATTAAGTATATTTCTATATTAAGAAGTATGAAGAAATTTTTTTATTATTAAAAAGAATTTTCTTCTAGGAATAATTTATCTTTATCTAATTTTATTATTATTATTTATATACTCGCAGTGCCGATAGCTTTCGGGCTCTGGCAATAATCGTTTCCCGAAGTAATAATTGATCATGCTTCTTAATTATTCGCTTCAAGAAAAACTTGACAGCTTATGTGTGTAATCAATACTATCGTAAACGATGCAGAACGTTTCATCAATCTCATTAGCTTACCAAATAACTAAATATTGAATTAAAATCATTTTGAACGCGATCAGAAGTACAATATACATGCTAAATGAACGCATACAGTGTTCCACGATGAAAGGGCAGACGCCAATGCTCCTGTTAGAATGAGATTAAGAAATTGATTATTAAAAGGTCAAAGAAGATCCCTTACTACCAGCTTTTGTTTACTTCTATCAAAAAACATATTTATTGGAATTTAGCAAATAAATTACCGGTAATGAATTAGGATCACATATGCTTTTGATCCCAACATATATAGGGGTTGTAAAGAAAAGCAGGCCCTTATAGGATGAGAACGCCTAGTTTCTTTTTTTTATGCCGGAACCCGAGAAATAATAATATATTTGAGAAGTAAGCCAAGTTTACTAAATTTCGATGACGTTATGCGATGGTTGGGCATCCGTCAATATGAGGACTTTCATGAAGTGTACGCATTTGCATGAAAATAATATATATTATACTTCTTGGTGCATTATTATCAGAATGAGTAAATAATTGTACTAGACGAATAGTGTAGTAGTGTAGGGTGACTAATCGTAGACCTTGCCCAATTATAAAGTTCTTACTTGTTTTTAATTTCGATATTTTTTAGATTAATTTATGTGTACAAGCAGATATTTTATGCGTCTATTAAGTACTTTAAGGCCCTTTTATGGTTTGTATTGATGGCGATACGGAAATGAGATTATAAATGTCGTTCAAGTTTTTATATGCAACCATAAATTAGTTAATGATCCATATTGACTTAGGTTTGTGAGCCGCAAACACTTAAACGGACGCGCAGGAACATTGAATTACTTATTAAGTAATTTGTTTATCGATTTCCCTCACCGAACAACTTCTACTATATAAAACTCTTATGCCATCCTCTTTGTAAATGTGTGCTAGACCGTGTAGCATGCCGTTATATTTGACTGTTTTGTTATCAGCCGCATCGTATTGTAAACACAAACGTGTCTTGATCACCCATAATGGATTTGTGAATACCAATGTTACAGCACCAACTTCAGTGGCGGCTAACATATGCATAGCCGGTCCCAATGTCAATGCCGTATTCCCACCTTGGATGAAAGTTATCGACAAATGGAAGTGAATTTTATAAATTTAATCGAATGTTGCAATGAAGTGGAAGTTATGATGAAAGAAATAAACAACAACGTAGACGCACCAGAAGGAGCTTGTGGTGACAACAAAAGGAGGACAATAGTAGATATAATATTTGAGGACTTTTCTACAACGCCTTTTAACAGTCCTACAGCATCGCCTGAGAGAAAATTAATAAATTTGGAGCGGTCCCCTTTATTTATATTACAAGAGAAACCGAAACGTAACTATAGCCGTGAATTTAAAGAAAAGACGAATTCAAATTTGGAGGAAAAATTCAAGGCCGCTATTGATGACAATGAGAATATGAGTACATTGTTGCATGATAAGCATTTTTTGAATTCTAAAAAGTCATACGATTCTACGCCAGAAACAGAAAGTAAGTGACTCTTTATAGGCCAACAAATCTAACTTTGTACATTCTTCTTAGGAAAAGCTTCAGATCGTTGTTACACACGCACAACGTAAATCAAAGTAAGTTATTTTTAAAATTTGTGAAGAGACAACGTTTAAGTTAATCCAACATTTTTCACCTTTAGTGCCATCCAATCAGTGTAAAACTGGGATAAGTAAAAATGATGATTGGTATGAAAATGACGATAACTTATTTGCCTCCATTAGCGCACAAGAAATCTTAGATCAAAATGAGAACATCAATAATAATAACTTTCCCAATAAATCTAAGTTTCAAGTAAATAAGTAGATAACCCAAGGTATGGATTCCTCACCATTTTTTGAGGCTTATTTTTATATTTTTTTATTTATTTCTGCAGGTTTTCAAACAGCGAATGGTAAACAACCTCCATATCGGAAGAAAGCAAAATATTCATACAAAATATTCGAAGAGAATTGCAAGACGATTTGCAGGAAACGGATTATGAAACTGAATTAAAAGATATAAAAGCTCGGATATCGAATAAAAGTATGAAATCCACGTTTAGAACAACCGCAACCAGAAAAAGACTAATGTTCGAAAAAGACTATAAAACTGGAAAGAAAGATCGCATGGAATTCAAATTTAAAAAAATGGCAAAGAGCAGTGCACAAGCCGACAAACCCACAGGTTTCCAAATGGCTAATGGCAAGAAAGTGCTCATATCTGAGAAAGGGAAAAAACGTGTGGAAGCCTTGATAAATGAATTTCATGAAAGTGATGGTGATATTGAGGATAATTTGCTTTGTATAAATAAATAAAGTTATTTCTAAAAAGCAAAGCATACTGTCTGAGAAAAAAGCTTTTAAGACATCTTTAACAAACAGGAAAGAAGAAGGAGATTACCCCAGTTGTAGCAGGAAGTTGTCAGGAGATGACAAAAAGTCGAATATAAAAGTTGAAAACGATGAAGGCAGTGGAGAGGTGGGAAGCGACATCATATTAAGTGAATGGGTTCCTACTCCAAATAATTCAAAGCAATTTGAATGTGAACAAACCGACGTCGGGCATCGGGCATCGGGCTTCAAATGTTCCAACAATGATTCGTAAAAATCGCTTGTTGTCATTAGATTCCAAAAAAAAAACATCAGAAATTTTTAGTGTTATATTATAATTTAATAAATACATTCAATGTCTTTGGTTTTGATTTTGTTTCCATTTTATTATGAATGCAGGATTTTAACGATTCTTTGGTTTGGGTTCCTGTGAATGGGTTCCTACTCAAGATAATTCAAAGCAATTTGAATTTCAACAACAAACCGTTTTAAAATCTCAAAATACTTTGCAACATTCGGCCTTAAATGTTCCAATGATGATTCATAACATTTCAAAGACAACAATCTGCACTTCTTCCTAATAATTTAATTAATAATCTGGCTTCGATCCTAAATCTTCCTCTCGAAGCTCCTTTTCTCTACGATTTTTTTAAATTTAATTTTGTAATTGAATGATCGCTTTTGCATTGAATTTCACATAAAGCATTAGTTTCTAAAAACAGCTAATGACCAAACCAATACCGTCTACAAACAGCTTATATTCTACAAATATCGTCTGCAAACCGTTCATATCGACACAAATACCGTCTACAAACCCCTCATATCCACACCAAGCGTGCGGTTAGCATCAGGCAAACATAAAAAACGTATTTATTTTCGAATAGTATTTCTCTTTCATAAATTTTTCTCTCACTCACCGAGAAAATTGCAATTAAATAAGTTATTATTTTATTTAAATTATTTATAATGTTTTCCTTTTTTTCCCCTTTTTTTATGTATATGTGTTCATAGATATAAAAATGAATGAAATAAATTATAAAAATCGTCAACAGTTTATTAAATTGCTCTGTTTTCTCGCTCACTTATCATTAACAATGTATCGCAGAGGAAATCACCAATTGGTGTAAACTCTTCACGTATCTGCTTTGCAAAGGTTTTAGAGAATGCAACACATTATTACTCGGACAAATAATGAGAATGAAAGAGTAAGCTATCAACTGGCTACTAGTTAACAGCGTTACTACTGTTATTGATAACAGAAACACAAAAATTTCGCAACAATCTTCTAATTTAAAACATCTTCCCTGATAGAATGGTTTCATGATATTTTCTACTTTCAATAATCTCCGTCAATACTCAGAGAGGTTTACTTGCCACCATCTGAATTAACACTATCGAATGTACTTTCATAAAGTAGTTCATCAGCATCAAAGTAATCATACGCTGGCATGTTAACTAATTAGTAACTAACATTGCACTGCCTAAGCAGGATAACATAGCGATAAAAGGCCATATGTTTCACTTGGCAGCATCACAACATTGTAAAAATGGGGAAAATTGCATTATAATTCGAAATCATTTGACGGCACGATAAACGATGATAATCTTTCCTATCGATTATTTATCGTATTTGTCGACATTCGTTTAAAAGTCTGGTAACTCTACAATAAATATCGAATTTTCCTAAAGTTTAAACAACAAAGCTATTTACTCCGTAGCTTTTGCGGGAAGAAAAAATGTATAAATAATTAAATAATTAATGATACGGAAGAGTAAATCGCAATAATTGAAAAAGAGCGCGGCCAGCGCGAATGTGTGAATTCAAATTTTTGTACGAAAAATTGTGAGCGAGCAAACTTTTTTTGTTCCTCATTTCGCGTAAGTACCGAATCGATGATTTGTTTTCCAGCTGCAACGAATTGCGGACGCAATGAATTCTTCAATAAATTAACCCGCGTTTTATAACAGCTGTTATGTATGTACATACGTCACAATAAATAAAATGTATTATTCTCTCTCTCTCTCTCTCTCCCCTGCCGCTTCTTCTAAATATTTCTCACAAAAACAAAAGTTCCGCGACACACCTCCCTCTATGTTTTTCACTTGCATGTATATGTGTGTGAAGCAAACTTGAGAACGGGTAAATATAGGTAGACAGTAATAAAAATATTCAAAAAAAAAAAGAGAGAAGTTTGTCTAAACAATTACTTATCGTTATTATTATTATTATTATTGCGTAAAATGTTAAAGAAAGCATTGAAACGAAATAAACGAGATTGAGAAAGTAATAAACTAAAAGCTAACAACGCAACAACATTTTAAAGCAGTACATATTTGTTAGACGGTGAGAGTGGACGTTGAAAGTGGTTTTCGCGAAAAGAAAAGTGCATTAGTATATATCTACTAAGTGTTCGTTATATCCAATACAGAGAATAATAATATATATAAATATTTATATACACGTATATATTTGTTTTTTTTTTTTTAAAAGCTGCACTCTACAAAAATTGGTCAAAATGCGGATATTTCCAGCCCGATTTTCAAACATAACGAAAATGTTAGATTTTTATTCGCAATTCAATCCATCACCGCTATCCATTAAACAATTCATTGATTTCGGTGAGTATTGTGTAATAATTGTTTTTGCACGTTTGCGTCCTCCTATGACAATATGCGAACAACAAACACCTGATAATCGCCAGCAAACAGTCTTATATGCAAATGATCATATTAGATCAAATTTGTTGTCCCTTATACTTTATTCTAATATTGTGTTCGTTCATTTGTTTTTAAAATGAGAGTAACAATTAATTATTTTTATCTTTAATCATATAAACATTTTCATTTCCTTTATCATTTCACATTTATCAGCAAACATTTTACAAGTAGGTGAGCGGTGTTTGGTAAAATATTTTGCAATTTCTTTTCTTTTAAATGTTTCGCTATATAAATTAAAATTATTATTATTATTTTTTTTTCTTTTTTTGCCTCTTTGTGATCGTTTAGTAGTGACTAATTAACTATGTATGAGCTCTCTTATTGAAATTGAAGCGAGGTTACTACTTATGATTTATTTCTTTATAAGAAACTTGAAAAAATTCTTTCAAAAATTTAGACTACTTGGAGATTGTAAGTTTTTTAATGTATTTTTCCGTTTAAAAAGTTGTTCTTATTTATTTCACGAGTTCAGTTAGTTCTTTGTGGAAATAATTTCCTTTAAGACCTCTGTAATAATATTTGACCTAAGGTGGCTATCTGGCTAAGTGCTCGAAAAAGTGCTCCAATCTGATTCATTTTTGACAGCGGTCGTCCTTCGGCCTACACATCTCAGCTTACCGAATTTCATCAAAATATCTTAAAAATTACGACTTGTACAGGGAGTACAAAAAAAAGAAGACGGGCGAACGTAGGGACAAGCTCAAATCGATTTAGAAAGGTTCTAATATAATAAAAGGTAGGTCTATCTAAAGTTCTTCCTGATATAGCATACATCCCTACAAAGAATTACGCCCCGTAGGGGGAACACAAAAAAGAAGACGGACGGACGCACGGACGAGCTTATATCGATTCATAAAGGGTTCTGGTATAATAAAAGATCCATGTCAAGTCCTTTCGTGTGTAGCATACATACCACAAGTAATGTAGGTTACAAAAACTAAAATTACGATCTTTCTGTCGTTCTTCGGAATCTCTGTACATCAGATTGTCCGCAAAAAGGAGTCCATGATATTGTCCGTTTATTTTTGAGATTAACTGGATGTTAAAGAAACCAACACCTTAACGCCTTAACTAGAGTGAGAGAGAGAGAGAGAGAGGGAGAATTACTTGTGAGATATTAGAATACAGTCTACGAGAAAAGACGTAGAACTTTTGCACAATTATGTTTCATATATTGTGTATGCATATTCAATTCTACTGAAATACAAATGTCAACAGCCTTTGCGCTGTACAAGGTCAACCCGATACATCTAACCTCGTATTCATTTAATAGCGAAAAGCATTGCCACAGCATGTAACTTATATTGCTAAAAAAAAAAAAAAAAAAAAAAAAACAAAAGAGTCGTTAAAAGCGTACTGAGATTTTCATATCCGTACATTAGCATTGTTATTCCGTCCGATTATTTGAAACACGATAGCGGGCAGATTGAACAAACGTTTTCATTTCCGCTCCGGAGAACGTATTATTATCGTTGTTACACCATCTGCCCATTTGAAACCGCAAAGTTTGCAAATTGAGCTGAGAAAATTAATGAAAAATTAATTAACAACAATTCTATTGTTATTTAATGGCTAAGAGCATTTTGTAAAGAAAAGTAATTGAAATTACTGTAGGCATATCTACACACAAATTAGTTGCAAGTTAATTAATGAGATACGTGAACGGGTTCACAACCGATAAAAATTTCATTGAAGTGCAAAAATGGAGAAGCAATATTTTCTCAATATTAGGTGTGATATCCGAAATGTTGTGATTAGTTATATTGTATAGTCTAAGTTTAAACTCCACTGTCAGTCACTGTTAACTCAGTGTGGTATTTTGCTTATGGGAATTCTCTCACACTCTGGAGGACACTCGATCACGCACAAATAGCCCGTGTGTCAACAGGTGTATTGAGGATAAGGTTTCCATACAAGCACTTACGTTAAACCACTAGAGACATCTGCGAGGAAGGATGAAGTTTTAGATAGTGCCTTATTCTCACCAGAGGGAGGGATACGTCCTTACGGCTAATTAATCTCGAAACACTGAAATATCTGTAAGGATAGTCAGTACGCTCTTTACTTGTTCTTATTCTGGAACTTCAGGGTAGCCTCCCTCCCTTGCTTCCTGTGTGGCGTGACTGACGCCTTTTCATTCTGCATGCTCGCGGGTGCCATAGAGTTAAGCCTTCATGGTGAGTATCTGCGTTAACTTCATGATATACATCCGTAAAGATCGTCAGAATATATATTTTAACAGTTATGCATATTACCAGTCCGATTCCTATAAAATTACATGAATTCTACATATGATATAAAATATTAATGAAACAATCACTTACGTCAATTTGCATTACAATGAAAGTAAATGCTGTAGAATTCATGTCCGCTGGTAGTAATAAGTAATATTTTCGAAAGAATTTTTATTATAATATTTATAACATTTGTCAGCTTTTGCTTGTTACATTCCCTAATTGAAAGGTCAAATCAAAGCTCTGCAGGAATGTTTGTGTTGATGAAATAGGGGTCGCATTACTTTTCGAGATTTCCAAGAGGGCCGGTTATTCGTACTAGATAAAATCGTAACATGTTTAGGCTTTGCGTCTGCAATGCCTAGAAGATGAACAAGCTATCAAATTGTTGGGACCCTATCACCAACAACTGATACCTTTGGATTCTCCCAGAAAATATTGGAAACATGGGGCTTGAATACTGAAAGCAGCAAATGTTGAGACAGAGGATTGAACATTTTTTTTTTTTTTTTGTTTTACTGAACTCGGAGAATAGGATCTAAAAGTGTATTTGGTTGCGTCGCTGTTACGATTAACCTTTAAGGTGTCGAATACCATCACAAAGCAAGTAAAATGATACTTAAAATGGGACCTTGATGTGTTAAATCAGAATAGAAAAGAAAATGAAATCTTCAAAATTTGCTATTCAAAGAGCCATTAACTTATATGGATCCGAGGTTTTGTTGTAAGACTTCCTTCCCTTTGAACCATGTAATGCAAAACCTTTCATACCTAAAGCGCAAACTAAAATATCCCGATTAGCTTAACGAAACATATTCACATCTTAAGCAATCTTTCCAAAGCTTATGATTAACCTAGATCTTGTGTGGATCTGAAATCACGCAATGCAAGACGTCTCATACCTGAAACGTAAACTGAAATCCCCCGATCCAGATTAAAGAAACATATTCATGTCTTAAGCTACCTTTGCCAAGCTTATTATTATAAAATATCGTTACTTAGATTTTATAGACATCCTACTGATCGAGTGAATGTAAACAACTAATGCCACGAGATCGATTAAATTCTTAATTTCTCGATTCTTTTGTTAAAACGAATATGATTTCCAACACATGCAGGAATTTCGCCTACATAATGACATTACAACCGCTGAACTGTGAATAGATGGAATAAGAAAACTCAAAAAATGAATTCAAACACAAGAGTGACACAAATCGCTCGTGTAAACGAACTAATTTATGGGGAAATTGATATCAGTTCCTCCTTCATCTCTTCTCAATCAATTTCATTAACTTCAATCAATCAATTATTGTATCATTTACTTGAAGCGGGATTTGTGGATAATAGTAAACACACAATTATAAATATAGTTATACGCGGAGTGGATATGAAAGATTTAATTCCCTCCTTAGCAAGTCCAAATCAGAAAGTATTCATGAGGAAACCTTGAGGTGAGACATCGAGGTTTTATTCTTACATTATTTTTAAACGTGTTGAACATCTTGCCATGTTTGAATAGATTTAAATTCCGTTCTGAGTGACACGAGTAATGTATAAATACATAAAATAAATATGTATACATACATACACACACACACACACACATATATATATATATATATATATATACATTAATTTGTATATAATAGAGAAGCACTCATAATAAAGTCTTTTCGTTTTTTGTTTTATTCCTTTTGTTTGTTTTTACTTCGTCTTAGAAAACGTAAACAGATGATAAGGGGGTGTGTATGAGCTTTCTTTGTTTTTTTAAAACTACAACTGATTTAATCTGCTAATCTCGCGATTACGTTTGTAACGCTAACATGTACGTTGCAATAATGCGAGTGGCCTTAAGTGCTTGCATAAATATTTAGAAAAGAACAAAAAATTCTACAAAAATAATATTTGGAAAATTGTCAGAGGGACATCGAACTGGTGAATTGTTAGCAATACCATATATCGTTGATGATTTTAGACATGAACCTTTTGAATAGATCGTACCTTGAACTTAGATAACACTGAAGAGGCCCATAATATTTTATCGCTATTTGTAGAGGGTGGAGAAGAGGAGAAGCCACGCTGCTATCTGGTATCTTTAGACAAGGTCTACTCGCCAGTTAGAGCGCTGAGAGTCCTCTAGAAAGAAAATTTATAAAATTTAAAACGTCAAGAAAACAAAAATAATTCGCAAGTCCATGCAAATTACGTTTTCATAAATTAGCGAAAAGATTGATAAGAAGAAATCTATACTTGCGGAATAAATAAATAATGTGTGCGTATTATTGGGTGTGAAAAGATTCGGCCAAAGCTCTCTATGGCCTCCAAAATTTTTTATTTTTATGTTTATTTAGTTATCGACCTTATTTTTTGTTATAATACCTGTCGAGACAATGTTTTTGTTTCTCCGCTTGTGTACGAAAAAAATTACTTACTGAGTTATAATAATGATAAAATTGAAATTATATTCTCTTCGAGCCAAATACATTCATTTGCCTTGCTATTCGTTTGGGTAACGTCAACAAATATGATTTAGAAAGCTCGGAACTTTTAGGCACGAAGTGTATACATTTTATATCAGCGTAAGATTTAATTCATTTTTTTTTTGAAGTTATATCAAAGACACAAAAACAAATTTCTTAGAAGCCTACGATTTCATTCACTTTTTATCGCTTGATTATTTTTGCTTAGTCCTTCCATTCCTTCAAGCCGTGCTCTCTTAACTTTGAATTTTGTACATTTTATCAGTTTATCTCACTACAGGCTTTACCAACATTGACTAGCATCAAATCTATGCACAAGTTCACAATGAAAATAGAGATAGTCCAACCTTTGACCCGTTTGGTCTCTATAAGCATAACATTCCGAACCAAATATGTAAGAATAAATGTAAGTTAGCGGGCCGACTGAGATGTGAGTGCGCGGACGCCTTACATTTAGCCCTAAAGATTTGGTTACCAGTAAGTGGTGGCTATAATGACGAAATTTTGGATATATTTTCCTCAATAGTTTATAAAGTAATCTTAAAAGAAGCGCCTTCAAATACTTAGTCTGTTTAATCAAGCTTTGTGGCGACTTGTATAAGTTGATATAACTAACTGTAGCTTGTAGCTTGCAGGTTCACACTAAATCACTAAACCCCGTTCATCTTTCTAAGACATACCCGCGCCTTTGGTGCTGTCGCTGCTTCTCTTTAACAAGCTCTAGTTTCTAGATTTATAAAGAAATGGCCATCTGCACGTTGTCCTGCTAATCCCAAAGATAGTAGGCCTTAGTCACCCGGCCAATATTTACTCTCCTCTATAACAAATTTCTTTACATTGCTGTCAAAGTTATCAACCATGCGTCCATCTCGTTGCTCATAAATCAGTTTTGATAATACAAGGTAGCAGTAGCTAGAATTATGTAAAAAGAATAAGAGAGAAATGAAAATAGTTCATTCTCAAAACTAGTTACCGCCATTTTAACGCTGCTTTAACTAACATTAATAAACGTTCCTGAGATGATAAATATTACATCTGACATCTGACTCTAAAAATATAAAACGCAGATCTGTAAATCTCCGAAAACGCTGCAAGTCCACTCTATTCTATTCTATTACGAACTGATTGACACTATTACCTTACTCCAAAAAATTGAAACTCTACATGTCTACAATTCCATTAAGTGTTAGTTGACACTTTTACCTTAACCCGAAAATTATGGTATTCAGACAGAGTCTTCCCTCCCTATATTCTCTCTTATACAACTTAATATTCATACTTAAGTATATGCATATATATGTATAGTACTTACATCACTGCATCAATCTAAATGAAGTGCCGCATGTTAATAGGTCACGTATACTTTTTCAAGGGTGGTGAGGCACTTGGTGGGCGTCATACGCCGAATATAATCATTTTCTTCTTCTTTTTTTTTTTTCTTTTATTTTCTAATTAATACAAATTTACAAAGTACTTATTTATTTATATAAAGACAGAATTTGTTTTTTTTGAAGCTAAGTGATAAGAAAAATAATCGAATAAGAAAAATATATTTATTTATTGATATTTTAAATTTACTTTTCGTGTGCCTCCCTTTTCTTCCCTCGCATCTATGTCACATTCAAATAGACTCTTTGCACTTGTTTAATAATGCACCTCAACCTTCAATACCACATGTGCAAAAATAATTGTCAGTCCATTTTGAAGTGCATGTAAACAGATGTGTTTGCAGGCAGGCATACAGAAGTGAATCTAATTTGAGTAGTTTTTATAATTATCTCCAATAAATTGAAATTTACTAATAATTTTGCCACTTTATCTTATCTAACAGTTCAAAACACTATACATTTCAAAATCCCCGAATTTGAATTTTATGAAAACGTGGAGGGAATCTGTGTAGAAAGTATACGCTCTTAATTTGATTTCATAAAAAAAATGTAAAAAACATCTTTGGCCATTGGCTACCTATGAAAAACGTTGATCGGAAAATATGCTGAACTCTCATTATTTTAGCCGAAGCTGACTGAAAGCTACCTGATAGTATATGAAGAACACTTTTCTACATATTATTTATACACATTCCACAATCCAGCAGCCCTTCTGTCTGCACTTGATATCCAAATCTTTGTGCATCCTTTACGACTTGTGCTACACGGGTATATTAACTTAACGCGGATGTGTGCAACATCCAGGAGGACTTGAGATACACCGACCTTGCATTACACCGATCGATTCGACTGATTGTGAATCGATTTAAACTTGCTTGCCCGTCTGTCCATTTCGTTGTAAACCTACATCCGGCAATTTTTGAGATATTTTGATGAAATTCAATTCCGATCGTAGCGTTTTCTCACCCATTTTTCATACATACAACGCTTCATCTTGAAAAGTCGTTACATAAATATCTGTATGGTGGTCTACGGTACTTAATGATGAGCCCACGCCCAATATAGCGTCCTTACTTGTTTTCAAGTTAGTAAAAAATCATTTTGAAAAGAGAGACCAAACTATGTCTGAACTTTATATAAAGTAAGGGAGGTACGTGTGCATGATAGGCTCTAAAGTGAAGTTAGATGACTTTTTAACCTCATCTATTTATGTGCTAATGTTTTTCAGGTCAGAATGCCTGCGAAAAGAAATCATTTGTTTTTTTAAAAAAAGAACTTCCAGTACGCTTGGCAAATATTATGAAAGAAATCGCTCTGTTACCTGATGATCTGTTGCACACGCGATCCGTGGGTCATGTTAGTTCGTGGTACGTGAAAAGTTTCGAAGAGGTTTTACAATTTGAAAAAGCTGATCCAACACATGAAAATTTGCAATTGTAAGTTACATAAGAACTTACTTAATAACTTATTAAGAAGACGAAGAGGATTAACTTTGCGTTCATTTTTCTTAGATTCGTTAATGTTTTGGAGCATATACGCAATCGTCACAGTGATGTGGTACAAACCATGGCTCAAGGCGTTATTGAAATGAAAGAGACTCAAAGTGATGCTGTGGATTCTTCTATGGAAGCCTCGATACAATACTTTTTAGATCGCTTGTATATGTCGCGCATTAGCATACGTATGCTAATTAATCAACATAGTAAGTTTTTTCACATAAATCTCTTTATTATTGTGAATGTTTCATTTAGGGGTTTAGGAGAATCAAAGAAAAATATAAACGGGGAGAGAAAGACAAGAGGGAGAGAGCTTGCTATGTAGGATTACATGTTCTTGCTTATTTTTGTACCCATCACCGAGGGTGAAGATATATTCAGTTTGTCAAAACGTTGGCAACACGCAGAACGATGGTTCAGAAACTCGATAGAGTGTACATGCTCTTGACCAGGACTAAAAGCTGAATCGATTTAAGCACGTTCATCTGCACGTCTGTCTAATGTCTGCTGCTGGCCGCAAAAAGGAAGCTAGTGCCTTCAAATTTGACAGAAACATTGGAATTTATTGCACACAGTGCACACATTGGTGAGAACATCTCAGTTTTCAAAAGCAAAGACAGTTTGTTTCTTTGCTCTTTGGTCACAAACTATAGCCGATAAAAGTATAAAAATGTGCAAATATATTCGATTGGAAAATGGAAAAATTCGTCCATGCCCACTCAATAGTATTTCACTGCCTGAACCACTGAAGCAGCGAACTTCAAAATCCCATTGAAGCACACACATTCTTGGCACCTTTTAAATTCGGAGGGTACTTAAGCGTGTCCGTCTCTCCAACTGCAATCAGTGCACGATAATCCGTTTGAAAAGATGGAGATATCACGTTCGAATTTCCCCACAAAATTTCCCCATATATTCCACCAAAATGGAAACAATCAGCCACGCCCATCCAATATTGAAGTGCACGAAAATTTGCCTTTTTCGTTTCTTTTCTCATTCTATGACAAAGGTGGTAGGTGTAAAAGATTCTATCACAGCCGAGGATAATTTTCGCACTTGTTATGGATTTGTATGGTTCTGTAATTGTATGTGTGCGTGTGTATTTTAGTAGTACGTGCGTCCGTCATCATATGGAATGAATAAGAATAAAAGCAGTATTTATTAGTCATAACTTTTTTCATTAGAGTGAGAAAGCATATTTGCACCAAAACAGCATTGAATGCGTTGAAGAACTTCTGGCCTAAGTGTTTTTTTCTTTTTATAGATACAGGTTTTTAAATTTCGTTACAAGCAATCCCGCAAGAACACGTTTTATGGAACAAATTTTTACTCAATCTTGCAGTCAAATATCTAACACTGCCCAATATATGAGATTAGAAGATTCGATCCATACACACATTGTTAATTTTGTTAATTATGAACACTACTGTAAAATAATAAATGACGAAGCGAATTGCCAAAAAGTATGACGTAGACCCCTTGCGCTTTTGTCTTTTCTTATTTTCAATATTCAAATATCAAAACATATGCCACGAGCAAGTGGTTGATGTAATTTGTAAATAACATTTACACACGGGCGTTACATTTCAATCATAATTTCCGATTTGCAAACGCCTAAGCAAAGCGCAAGAAGAATGTTTATCGCAGACATTATACAGAGGTACAGAGCTGTCTTCTTAAACCGGTTTAGAATTTGATGTTGATGAAGAATTTATAAACTTATGAGGCTTCCTTCCGGGTGTTGCAAACGTTTTGGCAAACTGAATATATTCCCATCCTAAGATGATAGTGTAGAAGGCTTGAGTGACAAAAAAAAAACACTCCGCTCCAAAAGATTGAATATTTTTTTAGGCCGTCTCATATTAAGTCTTGGTTGCAAATTTTGAATTTTTTCAAACGAAACTTTAGAAGCATTCCTTATAAAGATTGCGGTAACATAATAGGAACAAAATGTTAAATGGTGTCACAAAAAGTAAGCTTGCAGGCTGGCAGGCAGTAGTTTGCCTTTATTTATTTTGTTCATCGTCGTGTGTTTAGGCTAATTTACTTCATGTTGCACTGTTGTGGCAATATTGTACAGCTCGTGTTCGTTAGAAGCATACCAAACGGTCAAGAGGTATTTAAAAAATGTATAAGTATCTGTATCAAAACCAACAAAGAGAAGTAAGGACTTAAGGAAATATTGACGCTGACTGCGCAGTTATGCTGCGCAATGGCTTGCGTCAATGTTCTGAAACGTGTTTTAGCTTTCAGGAATAGTGAAAACACTATAGTGAGATGCGGCTTACCATTCAATACTCTGCGTCACTTGGTTTAATATAGGCGTTCAAAATAACTGTTTATATAGCATTTTAAATGACGGTTCGTCGTTTATCTAAAATATATCGTTTTACCAAATTTCATCAATGTCTCAAAAATTGCGACTTGTACGTTGAACACAAGAAGACAAGAGTGACAGACGGACAGACAAGTTTAGATCGGTGTAGAAACGGTCTTTGAATCGATCAGTATAATAAAAGGTGACTCTATCAAAAGTCCTTCTTGGTGCCGCATACATCCGCACAAATAAGTGATGTAGGGTATAATGAATCGTTTAGTAAGCAATCAAACTTTTCAACTTAAGTGAAAAGGTGCGATCTAAGCGTGAGTTCCCCTCTTTGAAAAAACGAATGTGAAAATTTTTATAGAGACCTTAGTTTTTGCTGAAAAGCGGGATTATCAGCGGCATTGTTTGCCTTGCCTTGGCCTTGGTTGGTTTTATCGTTATCTAATAGAATGACGCCATATCCCTGCATCAACAATTTTAATATATAATAATCTATAACTAATCAAAATGATTATGTAAAATGGCACTATCATCATCATAGATTGATTAAAAGTGTATTATTGCGATAGTGTTTAAAGGTCAGTTGATTTATTACATGTGTTATTAATATTTTTTTAGCATTACTGTTCGGCCAGTTTCCGAATGATCAGGGAAGACACATTGGCTGTTTGGATCCCGCGTGCCAAATAACGAATGTGGTGACTGATGCTTATGAGAATGCTCGATTTTTATGTGATCAATATTACTTGACAAGTCCACGACTGGAGATACAAGAACACAATAAAGTGGACAATGAAAAGCAGCCCATACGAACTGTATACGTACCGTCGCATTTGTATCATATGCTATTTGAATTATTTAAGAATGCAATGAGAGCTGTCGTGGAACATCACGATCAAGATACTAGCGATAAATTGCCGCCAATTAAAGTGTTAGTAGTTCGAGGTAAAGAAGATATCTGTGTAAAGGTAAATAAAAAAATTACTGAAGCTATTCCGCTAATTGATTATAATAATTGTTAAAGGTTTCCGATCAAGGCGGTGGTATTCCACGCTCACAAAGCGATCAACTGTTTAAATATATGTATAGCACCGCTCCTCAGCCATCAAAATCTGATTTGCATACAGTACCCTTAGCTGGTTATGGTTACGGTCTGCCGATATCACGTCTCTACGCTCGTTATTTTCACGGTGATATTGTTTTGCTATCATGTGAAGGTTATGGGACTGATGCCATTATTTATTTAAAGGTATTTACTGAAATTTTTTGAAAATGCATTAAAACTAAATGCCAATTTTCAATTTTTCCAGGCAATATCTGATGAGGCCAATGAATTGTTACCTATTTTTAATAAAACAAGTTCAAAATTCTACAGAGCAACGATACCCACCGGAGACTGGTCAAATCAGGTAAAAAATACGAAAAAGAAACAGAGCGCGACAGAGCAGAGCGCTGCACAAGTATCAAGCTGAAATGCATTGAATTGAATGAACTAAGTTTTGATTGTTGACGAAATGCTTTCCCAAAACACCCTTCCCCACAAGCTAATAATTGGTCGTTCCTATGCTTTGTAACTAAAATTTCAATGTATGCTGGTTCATTCATTAATTTTCGGCCGCCAAAATTACTTCTAAAAAAATACTTAAAAAAATTTTTAATCGTGCAATCACATGGTTTGTTATTTGCAACACGTTTTATTTTCTTTTTTTTAATACCGACCACCCGAGGGTATTGGGATTTGTTACATGTTATAATCCCGGTTGAAGACTCAGGAACAAGAAGAAGAGAACTTAGACAAAATTGAACACGTGAATATAATAATTCCGACTTTGATTTAAATCGGTTCAGTAGGTTTGCTTTTAAAATTCTTACCGATACATTATGATTAAGAGAATGATTATAAAATAATCCTGAATGGACACGTATTGCTTCATTTTCATAGAAAAGAAGAATGAGATTATATTCAAAAAAAAAAAAAAATTTCAGAATTTTTTTCGTTCATATAAAAAATTGTTTCCGAGATTTTCAAATAGATATTCGCCTCAGGTGGTGGGTATGGAAGTTTCGCTCCAAAGCGAATATAGTATTTTTATTTGCTCTTTTGCTTTTCTTTTTTTTTTTTTTTGCTTTTTTCTAGATTCGATTTTTCTCCTCTAAGAACAATAGTTGTCTTTAGATTATAATCTGTAATTTTTGTGGAAATGTGTTACATTTTGAAGCATGTTTGTAACTTTTTTTTTTAAATATCTACACATATGTATACATTTATTTAGTTTTTAGGCATAACATTCCGAAATTGGTTTTTTTATACAATTATATAAAAATATCGGAACATTATAAATAAGTTTTCAATGGCAAGCCATAAATTTTATTAAGCTTTAATTAAAAAGAAAAAATTACAAATTTTATTTTTTAGCGCAACTTTTTAAAAAAAAGCAATTAATAAATACTTACAAAAACACACACACACACATATATATATATATATATATATACATGTAAGTTTTGCATGCACACAGACGCAAAAATTTGCAAAATAAATATATTCAGTCGACCTGTTATCATTTCCATTCACAAAAATTAAATAAAGTTTTAATATTCCACATTAAAATCAATTGATCATTAATTGTATAAAACTATATAAAACTATGTAAACTTTTCTAACACAATACTCATATGGAAAATTTACTACCTACGCCTTTATAAAATTTCTATTTCCCTTTCAAAATAAAATGGTTTCATGAAATTTTTCTAAAGAATCTTCTTTGGCAAATTTCGCATTGCGGCGCAATGCTCACACATAATACACAGCCAAAAACTTGAAGAAAATCTCACACCCAATAAGGATAAGATTTTCAACAGGAAGACTCATAACCTTAAATTAATAAACAGGATCAATAAGTTATAGAAACTCCTCATACATTGGCCTGATCGTCGACAGACTTACTCCGTTTACCCAGAAACAACAACAAAAAAATTGTTTTCAATATAACAGCCAAGTGCGATGTAATTTAAAATATTTGTTACGCCTCATTAGAGCAATTCGGCTAATTAAACGGTGTCACAACGGTTTGCAGGGCAACAGTTTAAATTGATTGGCATTTTAATTGTCTCGTCTTTTTTAAGCGTATCTGTTTTATCATTTTGCGAGCTATGTTCAGATAAATACCTACAATTCTTCTGCAAATCAATAATAGATGGCTCACTGCGTTTGAGGTGGCCTAGCGTTGTCCTGGTGGAACACGACACCTCTCCTGTTGGCCAATTCTGGCCGTTTCTGGTCAATCGCTATTTTCAAACGGTCCAGTTGTTGACAGTAGAAATCAGAATTTAGCGTTTGGCCGTATGAAAGCAACTCATAATAAATAATCCCCTTCCAGTCCCACCAAATGCATAGCAAAACCTTCCGGGCCGTTAGTCCTGGTTTGACCACCGTTTAAGGTGCTTCACCGCTTTTTTACCACGATCGTTTTCGCACAGGGTTATCGTATGTGATCCATTTCTCATCTCCAGTCACCATCCGTTTAAGAAATGGGTCTATCTTATTCCGTTTGGCCAAGGTTCGCAGATGGAAATTCGATCCATCATGTTTTTTTCTGTTAATTGGTGTGGCACCCAAACATCGAGCTTCTTTTTGAATTCAGCTTTGTGTAAATGGTTTAAAACTGTTTTATGGTCAATTTTTATCTCCTGGGCGATGTTACGACTGCTAACATGCCGGTCAACTTCGATCATTTCTCCGATTTTATCGACATTTTCGACGACCGGCCTACCTGTGCGAGGTGCATCTTTAACATCAAAAATTCCTGAACGGAATCTACGAAACCAAAATTGCACATAATTGGCTGTTACAGTATCGGAACCATAAACACCATTCACAATTTTAGCCGCCTGGCTTGCATTTTCGCCTTTGTCAAAGAAAAACTGTAAAATGTACCGAATTTTCTCTTTGTTCACTTCCATTTTTAACACGCTGTAACTCACAACAATCAAATGAAATATATTAGGTTGGGAAAAAAGAAATCCATTATTTTTATATGAACTTTAGGACTTTATTGAACATGCTTCGGATTGTCCGATTTGGGTCAAATATGCACCGTTTTGTTGTATGATTTGTTGCCATTTTAAAGGTAACTTTAAAATGCCTCTCTCTCATAGAAGTCCTGATCTCTATTTGCAAAAAACTCTAGTAGTCGATTTTCACAATCCTCCCTAGATTCCAATTTTTTATCATTAAAGAAATTTTGCAATGCAAGAAAAAGATGATAATCGCTTGGTGCCAAGTCCGGACTGTATGGCGGATGCATTAAAACTTCCCAACCAAGCTCCCGAAGTTTCTGGCGCGTCACTGTAGATGTGTGGTAACACTTCAAGGACAGATGAGGTAGGGATGTGAAAAAAGGACACGTAGGTTTTTATTTGAACTTTAATAAAGTTGGCGACAGATTTGGTTGCAAGTATACGTCTTGCGTGCTATCATATTCGCCTTTTAACGATGTTACTTTGTTAGAAGTGATCTTTCCTAAGTTCTCCAATTATTTTCTCCTATCTTCCTATTATTTCTAGTCTAATCTGTAAACGATTGAAGATAATGAAAAACGTCTCAAAAGACTTCAATTTTTATTATACGTTAACAGAGTTGCTTTTTTGAGTAAGTGTTGATTAATTGGATGACCAATTAAGTGAAAGTTTCATAGCTGCAACCTTTCCGTTTTATTAAAAGTTTTCTCTACGCGGAATACCATCCTGTAATTGAGAGACTTAAAGAAAGTAAGAATTTTGTTATTTTTAAATTTAAATCATTATTATGATAGCGCAGACTTTTTCAAGATAAATTTTTTAGTAAATAATGCATTTTTGTTTTCTACCTGTCTTAGGTCTTTTTAACTGTTAATCATATCAATCTAAAGTCATTAGTCGACAATTCGAAGGACATTTATTTTATTTTTCCACTTGCTTTTTGATTGAAGTGACCATTAATGTAATTAATCTTGCTGTACGAATAAAAAAAAAGCAAGTTTTAGTTAGTGATTTCAGTTCAGTTCAGTTGTGAATATCTTTAGTTAAGTGACATTTACTCGCACTCGTCATGAAAGTATGCTCTTCAATTCGGACGTGTTTTCCAGCGTTTTTAATTATCAACCCATTTTTCAAGCATTTCAAACTTCACCTATATTTATATCCTACATCATTTGATACAAGGTGTATTAAGTTTGTGGCAGTGTATGCAACATCCAGAAAAATTTATGATAGACCCACGTTTTATTATGCCGATCGATTCCAAAAATGATCCTAACGATCTAAACTCGTCTGTCCATCTAATATCTGTTCATGTATTTTTGCATTCAATCTAAAGGTCATAGTTTTTGAGATATTTTGATAAAATTTAATATCCCAATATTGGTCGAGATATAAATCCGATTGAAAATGCTTTGGATACGACCACTTTTGTGACCAGTTCCCACACATTGTGTTAGTTTGAAAAGACATTATATGAATATATAATTGCATTACGGGAAGAGGTGTAGGATATTTAATGATGAGCCGTGGCCGACTATAATGTTTTTACTCCTTTTGGAATAATAGAAAGAGTTTTTGGGATTGATTTATTTTAAACTTTTAAAAAGTTCCTTTCAATAGATTTTTGATTTTTTTAAAAATGCACAATTTGAAATATAATGAAAAAAAGTTTAAAAAAATCTTACAATATTTCAAGAATTTTCTTAGTTTTTCTTTCTCTTTTTGGAAAAATTATCAAGAAAGGGCTATAAAAGATGCTTTTATACGCTTTATTTTTAAGAAATTAAATAAAACATTTGTAGATACTTGGACAAATGTGTGCGAAAATGTAAAATATACCAAAGAAAAATTTTAACTTTGTATTTAAGAATTTTTGAGAATTTTTCTTGTGACGTAGCGGACGGTTAACACCCAAAAATATGAAAAAATGAAGAAATGAAGGAAAAGTATAATGGGCAAATATAATAGGACATCGATTTTTGTTTTTAAAATAGCTCCCGACAATTGCTAAAATCATCTACCTATATTTGCGTTTAACACAAATTCATTAATATTAGAGCGTATGTGATCATTACAAATAAATACATTCAATACAAATAATGTGAACAAAAGATGAATGCTCTGAAATCTTTTCCCTCATCAGCTGATTGTCTTACGATAAACCCGAAGACATTTAACTAGAGGCTGACTTCACCAAATTGAAAATAATGTTTATAGTTTTCACCTCAAACACGTTTGCATGAAAATTTCCCTATTAAAAGTGCAAGAAATTTATTTGAAAACTGATATAATTATGATTAGTAATTTTTAGTTTTGTTCTTTTTTCTTATGAACATTAAATAACTGTGAATAAATTGTTTTAACCTTATAGCAGTTGTCACGATGAGTCGAAAATATGTCAAGCTAATTCAAAATTTGAGAAAAGTCTAAGAGGACTGAATAGATCTCTCCAGACAAAAAAAGATTTATAATTATTTAACTATTTTTTCTAAAAGTTTTCATTGGATGCTGATTGA